GGATTCCCTGACTTTCTCAGTCAGCTGAACGTATGAACTCCGAAATCCTCCCCGAGTAAACTTCTGAGAGCAAACCGGATGAAAGCGCGGTGTCGCGAAATGAGAATGCACCCGAGCCGGATTGTGCGATCAACTCCGGCTACTTTACACGGGTTTATAAGGGGGAAAATCCGATTTTCCAGAACCTCTGGCAACGTGCGCGGTATGATTCGAAGCGGGTTAGAGCGGGGGAGTTGCAACTTTCAAAACGAGGCTGGGGTGTCGCGAAATGATAATATACCCGAGCTGCTCAGCTCGGAGCGAGGGGGCTTCAACTCGGGGAGGGACGCGGGGGGCTTTTCCGCCCCCCGAATTCGGCTCGTCCGGAATTCCATTCATCCCCTGCTTATCGGGAAATTTGCAGCGGAAATAATTATTCACGCTTTCGGGAGGAAGAAAAAGACCAATTAACCCAGTCCTCGGCTTGGCTTCTTCTTCCCTCGGGCGGTGCCGTTTTGCCGCTTGATTATACGCTATTCCCATTGGTGGCTGTCCATTGTAGGCGGATTCTATCCGAAAACAGCGCGGCCTTTCGATCGAGTTTAATGTAAACTTTTGCCTAGTACCCGCACTGAAAAAAATTCTCGGCGTTTTTACGAAGGTCCGTTGGTACCTTTACCATCTCACTTTTTTTATCTATCATTGGTAATTTTACCATGACAGACTGGTAAGCTTACCTAAAAACCGGTATTTTTACTGTTTTTTTCAGGTAAGAATACCACTTGTATTGGTAATCAATTCCCGGTAACTTTGCCATTTTATCTTGGTAATTCTACCACAGTCGATAAAAAATATTGGCGTTTTTACCAAGGTCCAGTAAAATTACCGGGAAAGATCGATAATTTTACCGAGATTTATTGGTAAAATTACCAATTGCATAAATGGTAGTTTTACCAAGAAAAAACTGGGATCAAATAGAACCCTGAATTCTTGGTAATTTTACCCTTTTCTTAGTAAATACACTGAGATTTTTTTTTCAGTGATCTAGGCCTTGAGTACCGTATACATTTATTACACTCGTCACCCAGTGGATCGAGTCAGTAGGAGAGGTCGGAAAAAATTTGGAAACTTTAGAAGCATATAACTCCGCAAATACAAAACTTTGAGGCTCTAAAATTGGTTTCATTGGTTTCCTCAAGAAATTTGCTTCTCGAAGCACCCCTTAAAATTAAAAATAAGACGAGAACAACGTCAAAATTTGCAACCTCCCTGATTGACTCGGTTCACTGTGCGACGTCAAAATAAATTGAAGTTTCGACGTGATGTCCCGCCGGAGTGAGAGGAACCCCGCTGCGATACTTGACGTTAACGGAACCACCCTACCCATAAATTCTGCCGAGTTAAGAAGAAACGCCGTAAGAGAGTTCGAATTTCGGCAAATTTCCTCCGATAAAATACTCAGTTTTAGATGCAAGGCATTAACATTTCCCCTTTAAATTTTCAGATACTTCAGATTTGGCTGCGAATAAAATCCCCTGAGGAGATGGAACGAAAATACCCCCAGAAAAGTCACATTTCATCGTCGGAAACTTGGTAACGTCTGAAATTTCATACGGCATTCTTGCTTACCACGGCGAAACACTGTACGAGCATTCAAATGTTGTAAAATTTCCTCACAGAAAATATTTAAATTTGAAGAAAGGTGCGAATATGTTTCTTTGAAATTTTCAGACATTTTGGATCCTATAACGTGCAAAATCCTCCGAAAAGTTGGGAGAAGAATATTTACGAAAAATACTTCCGAAAATTCTCGATTTGTCGAGTACAATTTGGCAACGCCTGAATTCTCATACGACGTTCTTCCTTAGCACGGCAGAGCTCTTCATAAATCTTCAATTCCTTGTTTTTAGACATTTTGAATTCGATTACGAACAAAATTCTTTGAAAAACGGGAGGAAAAAGATTTACAAATCCTTCCGCAAATTCGTGATTAGCCAATAAGAAAATTCGGCAACGTTTGAATGCTTATACGGCGTTCTTACTTAGCACAGCAGAGCTCTTTTTAAATCTTAAATTCCGAGGAGGGGAAAATAAAATTACACTTTGGATAAGCGAGTCTCCATTGCTGGCGGGGCGCTTATCTCACGTTTTAAAAATCCGAACTAAGAAGAGAGAGACAAAATGACGAATTTCTTTAAGGGACTACAATGGGGGAGGGGGCGTATAAGAGACCCTGCCCAACTTTGAAATTACTCAAGCTGATGGCAACGCCGAAAGTAACGCTTCGTTAACGCTTAGGCGCTTGGTCGACTGGGAGCGGAATTAAAACTCCAACGATCCCCACCTTAATTACTCGCGCTAATGGGCTGTCTGAGAATTCGTTGTTTCACTCACGAAAGAACGTAACTTCATCTCAATGTTGCCAAATCAACCCTCGAAAATTGCAGTTTTAACGGGGGAATCTTCGGCATAATCACCTGAAATTTTCACTCACTTTTCTTCTGATCTGGAACACAAATCAGAGGAATTTTGGACAAAAATTGCACAGGCGCATTCTTGTGAAACGTTGAATTGTTTGGGTCAATTTGGCAACCTTGGAATGTAGTTACGCTCCTTCGGCCGGCTAACGACGAATTAACAAAAGGCATCGGGGTGGACGGATAAAAAACAACGGAAATACTGAAGCGCGGAGAAACGAGCGCGATTAGGGGAAAACTCGCTTTTCCTGCGAGGAAGATTGAGGTTATGATAAGGCGAGGGACAAAAACTGGAGGACGGATTCCAAAATAGTACGCCGGGGGAAATATGCACGTATAAGGGACTTTTAAGGAAAGGAGCTGTTTAAGCAACAAATTTGTGCACTGCCGAGATGGCGAAGAGAGGCGTAAGTGCAAAAATGAAGTTTTGAGATAATGGGCTCAGTATGGTTTGTTTTTTTTTTGTTTTTTTTTTGTGAGGGGAAAAATTCGCTCAAGTGCCCCCAACATTTTCTATGAAAATTCTATGAAAGATGCCTCCGTTCTTTGTCACATTGCCACCATCCATCCAAAAGACTCTCAGAAATCGTTTGGATGATGAAAAATCGACAAATTTAATTTCAATTACATGAAAAGGGTATACTATTAATTTTCATATTGGGCTCGTGTTAGCCAAGACAGCCGTAAGAGCTATGTTCTGCATGTTTTCGTGGTTGCGTTTTGGACACACAACAAACAAATTTTCGGGTTAAAAAATGGCAGTAAAGGGCGCCCTTTTACTTAAAAGTACCATTCTCATTGGCTCTCTGATGGAATAATGTCACTTACTGCTTCTTGCCTGAAACTAGGTCATTTTTTGCGTACTTACGGTTTTCTTATATGCGTCGTTTACACGAAAAAAAAAACGAATGTTGCTGTTTTAGCTGTTTCAGTGATTTCATCTACAAGAGAATAGACGAATTTTGAAGAAAAAACTCGATTTCGAAATTTTGAGCCTTATGGCTCTCCTCGACATCCCGACAGAATACAGTCCTTATACTTTCGTACCCTAGCTGTCAATTCCCGGTTCTCTAGATGGCTTCACACCCTGTGATTATACGTGGGGCTCGGTTTTTCTTGAAAGAAGATCGAGGATATGATAAGGCAAGAGACAAAAAGTAGAAGATAAATTTCAGAAAAATATGACGGGGTAAAATATGTAAAGGGAGGACGAAAACTCGGAGAGGACAACGCATAAATAAATAAATTTTCGGAGAGGGTAAACGGCTGAACCGCGCAGGGCACAGCGGGCCGAATACAGAGTTTCGCAGGACAAAAATACTTAAAAATGGGTCCACAGTACTGCCGCGCTGAGGAAAAACGCCGTATGAGCCTTCAGACGTTACCAAGTTTTCTTCGATAAAAACCGAATTCATCGCGGAAATGGAGATGTTGCATGCGTGAGGAATTTGCGATTTGACTACTGATTCTTGTGTAAAAGTTCACGAGAAACACAATGGTGCCACTGGTTTTCTCTGAAATCAACTTCCAACCTCAAAACAAGCTCTCAAGTTGAGGCCAAAATGGAGGGGATATCCCACGCTATCCTGAGAGTCCACCTCTACATCAAGACAAACTCTCCATGCAAAGATAGGGAGCAAATACGTGGACGGGGCTACCGTTTTATTTGGGGACTCTAAAACTGAAAACACGGCAACCCTGCTAATGTATTTACTCCCTATCTTCGCATGCAGAGTTTGTCTTGATGTAAAGGTGGACTCTCAGGATTGCGTGAGATATCCCCTCCATTTTGGCCTCAACTTAAGAGCTTTTTTTGAGCTTGGAAGTTGATTTCAGAGAAAAGCAGTGGCACCATCGTGTTTCTCGTGAACTTTCACACAAAAATCAATAGTCAAGTCGCATATTCCTCACACATGCAACATCTCCATTTTGTACGTTTCCGTATGTTTTGAAATCCGCATGTTTTTTCTAAGGATCTTTGGCAACATCTGAAGGCTCATACGTCGTTCTTCCGTAGCACGCCAGAGAGGGACCCCGACGCGCCTCGGACGAATTCCTTTGTTCTCAAAAATTGCTCGAGAAATATGAGCATAGCGGAAAAAAAGAAGGAGAAGGAGAAGAAGAAAACGAGCAGTTTCATATTTTCTACGAAAAAAAATGAGAAAAGAAAGTGAAATTGAGATAAACGTTCGGCATCTTCGTCATTTTTCCAGCGATGACACCGTCCGGTTTTTTTTTATCTCTATTTAGTGACTTCCCTTTTAAACAAATTCAAACCGAAATTCGCGGCCGAACGAACGGTACCAAAGACGGTGCGAGCGAGAACAATTTCAGGAGAAGGAGATATAAAAGTAATGAGGATAACAAACGCTCGATGAAATGCGAGGGATCATTTTCTTTTTCTTTTTCTTTCTTTTTTTCTTTCTTTTTCTTTATTTTTGAGACGCGATTTTCTCTTTGAGACACGAGTCTCAGCAGACGCGGGAAGACAGCTCATGAAAGTTTAAGTTGGCAGGAAAAAAAAACGAAGTAAGTGAGACTCACCCGCCGAAACCTCTTCTCTTGTTTACAGGTGAGCTGGCTATCGTCGCTCCGCCTTCACTTGATGACGGATCTGAAACATAAGAATTAATTTATTAGAAACCTTTTAAATTTATTCAACGTCCATGTTTGCCATTTTTCGTTTAATTCAGCACTAAAATTCATAAAGCGTCAACACTTTATAAAAGAAATTAACACAGAAACTTGGAACTATCAGTGTTCACAAATTCGATAAAAAATCACATGAAATTGCAAGAATTAAACCTTTTAAATCCATTTAACATTTATATTCGCCCAGTCTTTATTAAGTCCACATGATTTAATGTCCAACGATGAATATGTCGAAAATTGTCCAAATTGTGGACATGTTATGTCCACATTTTTTCTTCTCATTTAAATGACAGGAACCACCTCAAAAATAAATGCATACTACTACTACCTTCATTCTTAAAAACATTTCATTCATGAATCAAGTCATGAAAAAGAACAGACTCTAAGAGCAGATAAAAACAATGTTCATGTGTACACTGTACGGATGTGATAAGATGAAAACCAAAGCGGGAGCCTAGGAAACGCTCCAATGCCAAATTAAAAATTTTTCAGTAACGGATGAAGTCAAAATTGAAAGTCCTCTTTAACTAGTTATTTCGTGCGCCTTTAATCTTGTAGGACACTGTGCAACGCCTCTGACGCGAAATAGTTGCTTAAAGCGTTGCGGCGCGCCAGGCAACCAGCGTGACACGCACATAGGCGCCTACAAACCTAACGGGATACTTCACGCGTTGCGCAATACGTGAAGTATCCCGTTAGGTTTGTAGGCGCCAGTGCGCGTTCTGCGCTGCTAATACGCCGCTCCGCTCTGTGTTAGGCTCTAATATTTAAACTCGCGGAGTCAGCGTTTTTCAACTCATAATTTTGAAATGTTTGAAAGCTCTGCATGAATTATTCTTATTTAAATTGATGAAAAAGAAATATGTACTACTGGAAAATATAATGTGTTTTTTGTAAATATGATAGTGGTTCCGTATCAAATTTAATGATTTGCAAAGCATTCAAATTTATTATTTTATGTTTTGGGCTATTAGTGTGCTGCAGCGTGGTGTAAGCGCAACCAAACGCTCAAAATTGGACGTATTTGACTCAAGGAGGTCGATGTACAAATAAGTTAAAAACAAAAAATTGCGTGCTTCTGCGTTTTTTCCCTCATTTATTAATTTTTGTACAGTTTCTTTCATCACAACTACGGCTCATTGAGATTCATATCAATGCCATTGCTTGGAAAAGGTTTTACAAATATTTACCACGTTTTAAAAATATAAATGTTTTTAAAATGAAGCAATCAATTTTATTTAAAAAAAAAGAATGTACATATAAGGCATATTTTACAGCGGAAATTTCAAGGATAAAAATGAAACCAAGTATTTACCTAAGACAATTTGAAAAGATGAATCAAAAGTACAAATTAACATTTCATTTAAAATATTACGATAACAACACCTCATTCTCTCTTAATTTTCTCATTTCGATATTGTCAATATAATTTTACACACGGACTAAAATATGACACTTGAATTTGATTTTAGTGGACTTTACATTTGTGGACTTAAGTTAGTGGACGTTTAAGTAATGGGCTTAACAATAGTGTGGGCTTTAGAACTGTGGATGTAAAAATTGTGGACGAAAAGTCTGTGGACGTAAAATAAGTGGACATAAAGTCCGTGTACCACATTTATTTAGCGCCTTAACAATACATGATAATTAACACAATAGAAAGTGTCTCATATACCATCATAGTATAGAAGAGTGCTCAACAATTTCCGTCTATAAAAACAAACTTCAAACGTTGTTACTTCCACATCACCGAATACAATAACTCAGTCAAAGAAATTTTAATTTCAATCGTTTTTCCGAGGAAATTACATAGTGCGCGCAATTTCCGCGAACACAGTCCTAGTTTTTCTATTTTACATTTCCTCGATCGGCAATCTGGTCAGTGGCGTGGCGTGCTTTGCGATATATCGATTGATGCGCCACTCAAACCTATGAAAAAAGATCGATTATCAGGGTTTTCGCAGCGAACACCTTAGTAATCGAGTCTTTACCATAGCTTCAAATGGCGAGATATCGATAATCGATCATTTACGCCACGCCACTGAATCTGGTTTGAATACGAGTGGGTGATAGTTCGATTTGTTTTTAATCACGTTCACGGTTTAATTGAATCTCTCGATTCGAAAACGACCCACCTCGGAAAAATTAAATTTTCTAGGAAACGATGAAAAAAACTGTTTAACGGCCGGAGAAGGAGTGTTTTTACGCAAAACAAAGGAACATCGTGAAAAAACCCAAGTTGGGTCGTTTTCGAAAAAAGAGCTTCAATTCTGTGACGGGTAAATAGAACTCGGGTCATTAAGCCCTTTCATATGAAACAATAAAATATTCTGGTGCAAATTCTTCATTACGCCCTGAAATCAGTCGGACCGCGTTCAGCAGCAAGGGACCAAGCCACATGAACTATTGCCAAGTTTGATTGGGCAATTTAATTTTTTACAAGAGAACATTTATGTGGATTCCCTAGAAAAGTGAAAAATGAATTTGCTTCTTACTGTGCAGAAAATTTACTGAAATTTGCAAGCAAATCCGCGCAACGATTTCATTATAAAAAAAATTTATTGTCCAATTAAATTCGCGACAATAGCTGATGCAGTGCTGATTGCGAGACCTTGACACCTTGCCAAAAAAAGGAATGTTCAAAGGGGCACAGATATGAGTACGGTAATGACCATTGGACTCAATGGTAGCAAATACTGTAACACTATCCACATTCATCAAAAGCTCAGTAAATGCTACCAGATTTCTGGTTATCCTTACCCTGGAGTATTACTGTGCCATTAATGGACCGCGTTCAGCAGAGAGGAACATCAGCTATTGCCAAATTTATTTGGGAGATTTAATTTCTTTACATGAAAACGCGTTGTGCTGTTGTGGAAATCCCAGAGCATTTCCCGCATAGTACAAATAAAAGTCTTTAAAATTTTCAAAAAAATCCGCACAATTTTTTTCTTGTAAAAAAATTAATCGTCGAGTTAAATTTGTCAATAGCTGATCTGGCTTGGTTCTTTTCTGCACGGAATAAATTAAATTGCTGATTTAACAATTCAGTTGCTAAAAAAAGTGACTGCAATGTTTCGATGTAGATTTTACAACACACACCGGTAAAAAAAAAACCTCTTGGACCAATGCCGCATTGCATTGACTTAAGAGTGCAGTTTCTTGTCACCAGATTGTTGCTTGAAACAAGAGTCCAGACTCTTGTTTCAAGCAACAATTCGGCGACAAGAAACTACACTCTTGAACCAAGAGGTTTTCTTTACCAGTGCAAAAGTGCTGATTTAACCACCCCCATGGTTGAATTAGCTTACAATAGTAGTTAAAGTAGCATTTTTTTGTTGTAATATCTACGTTGAAACGATGCAGTCACTTTTTTTAGCAATTGAATTGTTAAATCAGAAATTTAATTTTTTCCGTGTACTAAACGCGGTCCAGTTCAAAACCGGATCCCGGAGAAAATTTTCGACGGTGAGGTAGTCGGCGCCAGAAGCAGGAGCCAGGACAAATTAGGAGCCTTTTCCCCGTTCATTTTTCTTCCAGACGCAATGAATAACTTCTCCAGGACCCGAGACGTGCATTTCCACGGCTGTCGGGAGCAATTCATCATTTTTCCACAACAGAAGTTGGCGCGTCACGGGAGGAAGGACCGCTTCTGTGCGACGTCAAATCGTGATGCATCACTTTCATTCCTTCCCTACGACCGCGCTCCAAAGGCTCCAAAGGTCGAGCTTCAAGGAAGAATGGAGCCTTTCCTCTGAACTCTGCCGTGACGGCAGCTCGCGAAAAATTCGTGAAATTTGGGATCACTGGAAAAAAAGTCTCTTGGTTCTAGAGTCCAGATTTTTCAAACATTTGAGGAGAAAAAATACTCTTGATACAATCGGATTTTTACTAGAAACGAGAGCCAAGCCTCTTAATTGAAGCGGATATCCTTTTGATTCAAGCGAAAATCCGATTGAATCGAGAGTATTTTTTCTTGAATCGAGGGCGTCTTAATTGCAGCGGATATCCTCTTGATTCAAACAAAAATACGATTGAATCAAGAGTGCTTTTTCTTCAATCGAGGGCCAAGCCTCTTAATTGAAGCGGATATCCTCTTGATCCGATTACATCAAGAGTATTTTTTTTTGTCAAATGTTTGAAGAATCTGGACTCTCGATCCGAGGATTTCGGAGAGCCACTAGCATCTCAATTGAAGCGGATATTTTTTTTATTCAATTTAAGCAAAAATCCGATTGAATCAAGAGTATTGTTTCTTGTTAATGTTTGAAGAATCTGAACTCTGGATCCAAGGGACTTTTTTCCAGTGTAAATTTTAAAAAATTAATAATAATAAAAAATACATAGAAATTGGATTTTACCACGGAATTAGACAGCTAAGGAGATAAGTTGCTGAATGGTAGAATGTTCTTCCATTTTGGCTTACTGAGAATGACGTAGTAGGTCAATTTTTGATCACATCAATTTTTAAGGGACAAAATAATTAAAGAACCCAAACGGCAAGATACTACATTCCCAAGTAGCACACGTAAAATAAATTGCAATTAGATTGTAAGATCATAGTTATTGTAGCAGGGTGTTGTGTGTGTTGTCAGCTCACTAATTGAAGGAGCTTCTCTCCTTGAAATTTTATCACGATCAGGAAAGGGGGTTGTTGGAAAAATTCGTCTCAGATTTGGATTTCATTTCAGAATCAGGAACTATAATTTCTGGCTCATCCGTAAAAACACGTTCGTGCGAAGGGAAATTAATGCGTTGCATCTAAACCGAGCCAGAGATTGTAGTTCCTCATTGTAAAATGCTGCTTATTCAAATTTCAAAATTAATGCGATCAGAAGAGGGGATTGTCGGAAAAATTCGTCTCGGATTTGGATTTCATTTCGAAATTAGGAGCTATAATTTCTGGCTTCTGTAATAACACGTAAACGCGAAGGGAGACCAATGGTAAGTACGTTGCCTCTA